TTTTAACTGTAACTAAAGTATCACATTCAAATTTGCCAAGCCACTACTGTCTTTGCCAGATATTTTATATTATTCAATGTGCTCTCATTTTGGCAGTAGGCGTCATTGCATATATTTTGCAATAAGAATTATCACACTTTATTCTTAATCTTACAGAATATTTATTTTACTAAAGCTATACCTACGTCTAATTGTAAAATGGTGATTTGCATTATTCACATTTTCCACTCAGCGTAATGATTTTTAATGCAGCAGTAGTAACTGTTCAAATGTTTGGTTATGATGTTATATATGAAAAGAAAGTTCACCTAGAAATTATATAAAATTTGCAGTTTCCATGTATCCTAATTATGGTTACCTAGAGATTGAGTGAAAGTTAGGGCCTTACCAAATTCATGGTCCATTTTGGTCAATTTTACAGTCATATGATTTTAAATAAGGTAAATTTTGTAAGCTCAGATATTTAAATCTGAAATTTCATGATGTTGTAATTGTAGGGATTCTGACCCAAAGAGGACTTGTGTGTGGGACACAAAGTTATTATATAGGGGTTGCATTGCCTTCAGAGCTGGGCAGCTGGAGAGCGGTGGCTGTTGGCAAGGAGCCCAGCTGTGAAGACAGAGCTACCAGCAGCTGTGCAGAAGAAAGATGGCCTGGTTTGGTATTGCCACCCTTAATTGTGTGCTGTTGCTACCTGTAGAGCTGAGCCCTTAGTCAGCAGCTGCTGTCCAGCTCTGAACGCAGTGGCACAGAAATAAGAGCCACGTGGGTATGGCATTGCCACTCTTCCTCTTGCACTGCTGCTGGCGGGGCTCTGCCTTCAGTGTTGGGCACCTGGACAACATTACAACCACTGCTTTCCAGATGCTGAGCACTGAAGGTGGTGCAGAAGTAACGGTGACAATATCATGACCCTCCTAAAATAACCTTGTGGTCCCTCTGCAACACCCTTTTGGGTCAGGACCTCAGATCTGAGAAATACTAGTCTCCCCCATGAAATCAGTATATTATGGGGTAAAAGTACAAAAAAGGCCAGATTTCATGGTCCATGATGCGTGTTGCATGGCTGTAAGGTAGAGCCCTAACAAGAATGATTCTATCATCCAGTGGTCAGGGCACTCTGCTGGAAGATGGGAGATCCTGCAATTCAATACCCTGGCTCCAACCACTTTTCCATTATTTGCCCACAGTGGAACAGCTTCAGTAGACATGAATGAGGGAGACTCATTAGAATACTCCGTAGTTCAGTAGTTAGAACACTCTCCTGACAGGTATAACATCCTTGTTCAAATCTGTGCTTTCCCTCTGACAGAAAAGGGGGACTGAACCCAGATTTCTCACATCCCAGGCAAGTTTTCTAACTATTGGGCTAACATTGGTAGCCACATACTCCATTTTCTTGTGCTGGATTCTGAACGGGACCTAATCTGGTAGGTGACCTCTGAGCATGCCTAACTGAATCTGGTCTTGCTCATGCATTAGGCAGCCAACCCCTTTCTCTCCTTGTTTGTAAATCAAATAAGAGGGGTAGGGCTAGAGGGTACAGACAGATGCTCAGAGAGATGTAGCAATGTGCACACTCAGAGGCCGAAGTATAGGTTCCTAGGGAACTTTTACTTTGGAAACATAAAGTAAAAGTGACTGGAGTGAATGTAGGTGCCTATCCAGTTCATCAGGAATTTAGCACCTAAACCTAAGACTCAGATGTCTGAATATGGGTTTTAGATGTCTAAAGACCTTTGTGAAGCAGGGCCTAAGTGCAAAATACTGTCAAAGGTTAATAATTTAAAATAGTATTTTGTTGATAGTTGATGAACTATTAATATTGTTGACGAGTTGTGGCTCTGAGGCCAAAGGGGAAAGCACTCTGCGTGCTGGGTGGTGGCGTTCAGGGCTGGCTGCTCCGGCTCCGCCCTTTCCACCCAGGGCCCCGCCCCTTCCAGTGTGCGGAGCCAGCTCCTTGTCCGGGGGCCCATGCTAGCTATTGGCCCTCCTGGGTGTCATGGCTCATTTGTAAATATCCAGTGTAGGTGCTCTGTAAGGAAGGGATACAGTGATCAATAAAATGGACTGGTAAAGGATATATTCTTTAAAGGAGCATAAATGGGCATTGAACATTCCTGGGACTAGTACAGCAGGGGACCTCCTTTATAAACTCCCATTCATAATTTGAGTGGGGAGGAGGGGAGTTGGTGAGGCCTCAGTAGTGGGTTGGCTGAGGACTAGGGTAGGTAAGAGGAAGGCTGACAGAGCTCCCCTCAGGTTTCTGTTGCAAAGATTATGTAATTACCTTAATTGCAGACTTTTATCAGCTGGGTACACCCAAACGTTTAAGAATAAAGTTGTGGCCTAGTTAAACCACATCCAGTGTTGTTCTTCCAGCATAGCAGAACAATGCGTCAGTAATCACCCAGTGTTACGATAAGTAGTACACAACTTGCTTATGGCTGGTGACCTTCTTGATACACATTTTATAATCATCGTTTCAAGTGAGATGAGTACGGAACATTTCAATGTAACATTTGAAAATCTAATTCTTGAATTTTCTCTCGTTGATTAGCAGAAAACTCTTCAGAATGATGTGTTGGAAATTAAATTGAGTATGTTTAGAATGGATTAAAAGGAATCATTAATAGAATTTTAGCATTGCTTTCAGCACACTAACAAAGGAGGCACATCAAAGGCTACATTTAGACTGCAAGCCTCTTTTGAAAGAGGCTTTTTTGAAAGATACTTTCAAAAAAGCCTCTTTTGAAAAAGAGTGTCTAGACTACAACCAGTACTTTCGAAAAAGCAAGACCCAGGCAGTCTGGATGCTCTCTTTCAAAAAAGGACAGTTTGCATTACATAATGCCTTTTTTCGAAAGAGCACTTTCGAAAAAAGGCATTATTCCTCATAAAACGAGGTTTTCCACAGTCGAAAAAACTGCTGCATTCTTTTGATTTACTTTTGAAAGAACATGGCAGCAGTCTAGATGCAGGGGAAGTTTTTTCGAAAAAAGGCCATTTTTTCGAAAAAACCCAGTAGTCCAGACACACAGAAAGAGAGCACTAGAATTTCTTAAATGCAATAAGGGCTCAGTCTTGCAATGACATTAAGGGTATGTCTGCATTGCATGCTTATTTCAAAATAAACTATTCCAGAATAGTTATTCTGAAATAGCTTATTTCGAAATAGCACATCTACACTACAGGGAAGCCTTAAAATTAGGTAGTCTCTTCTGTAGTGCTGTCTCGATTTAGAATCCCAGGAGGCACTAAGATAATAACTTAGAATGGCACTGGTAAGGGGCTATTTCAAAATAGCAGCAGTGGAGCATCTACACATGCCTTATTTTGAAATAGCTATTTCGGAATAGGCGTTATTCCTCATACAATGAGGTTTGCAGATTTTGGAATAAGCCACCTGTTATTTCAAAATAGTTTTGAAATAACAGGTGGCTTATTCCAAAACTATTTTGAAATACCGGAATGGCTGTGTAAATGTTCACATTGTTATTTCGAAATAATGCTAGTTATCTCGAAATAAACGGTGCAGTGTAGACGCACTGTAAGTGTCCCCAATTGAACTAATTTAACTGGAGTTGTAGAGATTCAGCACCTTCTGCAGATGTTCAGCACCATGAGAATTGATTCCACACTCTTCACAACCCTTCTGAATACACGGAATGTATCCTAGCAGTGTGCCGCGGAAGAACTCATCCCTTCAGGGTTCCATTGGGACCACAAGCTCTTATATCTTGTCTTCAAGGCATTGAACACGGAATAGTTAGTGGCATGCCTGCCCAGATTAACTCTACCATGTCCACGTATAACACCATGCGGGAGGCTGCAGGAACTGTGCAGAGAACAGAATACCTCTTGTGCAAGCTCTGGAATTCCTATCACTGTCTTGCTCTTCACCATTGCATAGAAGAGTGCTACCCAACTTGCTATTCCTGAGAGCCTTAAGCTTTTACCTGGTTAATTCTGAATGAAACTACTGTATAGGACATATAATTTTTTCCTTTATATGCATAAATAGATGCATATTTCCAACCTTTATAATTTGGCTTATTCTGCTTTTATGTATTTATTTTGCATTTTCATCATATTTGAACCTATAATGAAAACATTTCACCAACAGTGGTGTGTCTGCAGTTTTCTTTTGATGGAACTTTGATACTGCTGCTGACTTAATGTCACATGGTTAACTACTGCTTTGGTTCAGTTCATGTTTCCCTTATTTTTACTGTCCTTTCCTATATTCTGTACACTAATTACAGTGTGGTTTCTTTGATTGCATATTGAGATGGCAAAAATGCTGTGCCTATGTTTTTACTATTCTGCTACTGCTGAGATTCTTATTGCTGACTCTTGGGGGCAATGTGATCTATGTACTGTACTAGTTTTCTTGCATACTTAGCTGCTATTGCAATCGTCTGTAATTATGATTTAATTAACTTCTGAATATTGCACAAATGTAAAAAAAAGTGTCAGAACAAGATAACAATGGTAATTTTCAAATTGATGAACATTACTTCTTGGGATTTTATGTTATGTGGGCCCTGAGTAGTCCAGTGAGATTGAACGGGATATATAATATGAGAGAAATCAGCTGTATGTAGCAGAGAGGAGCTTGATGGTCCATGTGTGATTGACTTTTGCTTTTTGTAATTTGTGGCCTAGAGCCTTGGATAGATGTTCCTTTTATTCTTTTTATAAATAGCAGTAATAATATTTTGACATATGCTTGCTTTTTCCACTGCATTTTCTTTCCCACTTAGCAGCTAGATGACTAAATATTAAGTGCTATAGGCCAAGAATGTTTTATTATGCAACAATGTTATTGTACATATATATATGCATGTGTAATAAATATACACATGCATATACTTGTGGGTATATACGCATGCATGCATTGTACACATTAAATCCACAGTAAATATCTATTTGTGCCCATATATCCAGGTGAATATAACCATAACAATTAACATTTAATGGATTTGTTTTGTTTTTAGTGGATGGCTGTATACATAGAGCTGCTGGGCCCTGCCTACTTGCTGAATGTCGCAACTTGACTGGCTGCCCCACTGGACAAGCTAAAATTACTTGTGGATATGACCTGCCTGCCAAATGTAAGACACGTTCTTCACACACTTTTCTTTTTTAAAAGAGAGTAACTTTTTCACGTGCTTTCTCCCACTTTCCCCTTAAGTCTAACTGAACTACATATTAGTTTAAAAAATTAGCAGTAGATTTCATTGAGCATGTTTGGTGATAATCTCTTCCTCTAGCTTGCAGCAATATAGACTTTTAAAAATTATTATTTTGGCTGTACTACATAATGAAAATAAGTATGTTCTAAAATACAGTGCATGTATTATCTTACATTTTTATAAGGGATAGTCTACTGTTTATTATATTATATAATAGAGTGTCTGAGGCTCCGATATAAGTTAGACTAGAAACAAAAAACGTATTATAATATTTAAGTTCCATGGAGACAGATTTTTGGAAATGAGGAAGATTTCATATTCGTCATGCAGATTTCTTGATTGTGAATACATTGAGAACTGAAGAGATCAAAGTGATGTATTGTGTTTTCAGCTGCTGTATAGAGTCTGATTGGCAATTACTGTGAAGGCATCTGTCACACTCTAGCTTTGAATGGAATGCAGTTTTCAATGCTGGAATGTTTTTGCACTTTGAATGTGGGTTTGTCAAAATTCCCATTCTGTTTAAATAGGAAGAAGGTTATTTGGTTGACCTTGTTGCATAGAAGTTGAGCCAAAGTTGAAAAAATAAACAAGTGGGTCTTAATGGCGTGTTATGATAAAAGCCAATGTGATTTAAGAGTTTATAAAGTGTATAAAGGTAGGAAATATTATCAGTTTGGGATCTTAAAATAGTCTATTAAGAGATGTGATTATATGTGAATTTCAAGAAAGACCATAAGGATAATCTTGTGACACCTCAGGTTCTCAGTTACGCACAAAGTCCAGTGCAAGGAGTGTGCTTTATCTAAACATTCAGATTTTCTCTTTGATTTTGCTGTCAACTATTTTCCTGACTTCACATAGAGTTTCCATGGTCCTGCCAGGGTACACTGGACAAAAATTGTTTTTAATTTGTGATCGTCTCTGCTAAAATGGAATTACTTAATTAAAACAAAACAAAAAAACAGATCAATAACGCAGCACAACACATGTGCCAACTTAGTATTAAGTGTCAGAGATCATTAACTATAAAATAGAAACCTTTGTTACGGTTTACAGCCAGATTTTGCCTTCTGTAATTCATGAATTTTGAATTCCATCGCGGGGAAAATGCTGAGCAATACCCATAGGGATATAGTTCTGTGGGGTGGTATTTGGCCAAAAATACTGCCAAGGTTTGTATTAAAACGCAGTCAGTTACATGTGTTACCTCTCCAGAAGCATATGGTTAACACCTCAAAACAGCCAGCGTACGTCAGTTGTGCCAGAATTAGAAGTAAGAGCAAGACGGTATATATTAGGTCAACTTTTCTTTATGTAATGCCACTTCAAAGACATTAACCTACTTCCAACCTTTTCTCTGTCCCTCTCCCTTTGAAATATGAGGACTTTAAATCACATTACTTACCAGCACTCATGGTGGGTTTTCACGAAATGCTATCCATATCTCAACAACACAGGGAATTTGATGATGGGGTCGGCAGTGAAAGGGACAGCCCCAGCAACAAGTGGGGGAGACACTTGCTGAGGGACTATGAGGTAGCTTCTCAGCCCCTTGGAATCTCTGGCACATTGGCCAGCATACTCCAACTCCCAGGATTTAACCTAGGGCATGAGGCCGTGTGGAACCTCTTTCAGTTCCGTTCCAGCAGCCGGGTGGGACTACAGGTCAAGAAGGAATTTTTTCTCCCATGAGTCAATTGGCAGAGGGATGGGGAGGTTTTTTGCCTTCCATACAGCACCTGAGAGACAGAATTACTTAAATAGGAATGCACTTAGTGCCTAGCTGAGGTACTTTATGCTGTTGATTCATCAGCACTTGGGGCTCATTTCCATTGTGGTTAAAAACATACATGTGGTTAAAAACATTTATCCAAAGTAACGATCTGGGATATTACTGATGGGCCTTAGGCTCAGGGGATAGACTTTATGACTTTCCCTTCTATACCATCTGTCCCTCTCACAATGGGAATTTATGTGGTAGGATTCAAAATGAGCTGAGTTTTAGGGTCTTGGTGAAGGAGAGCCTACCTTGAGTTAAAGATAATATGGTGGGATCCCTGACATCTCTACACTGGAGTCAACCAAATGCTCAGTATTGGAGTGCATGGCTGATGGGTGGGTAGTGCTCCTCCCCTGTGTTTATGCTGTCACCTGCTGCTTAAAATCCCTGCAAGTGTCTGTCCTTATTTTCCTGCTGTGTTACATCAATGAAGATGCACCCCAAAAATCTTAATAGTTGAGTTTGATTTAGATCCCAGATTTTGGATGCTTATTCAGACTGTTTCAATATCTCGAATCTAATAAATCTCACGAGAACAGAGTTCCACTGACTTCTGGCACTTAGGGAGCTTGGAAGAGCAGAGGGCCTAGAAAGATTAAAACACATTGAAAGCTTTAAAAATCATTTTGTTTGGTGTTAGATATGGAAATGGATAAAGTTTAGGAGTAGTTTTATCTTTCCTTAATTGGTTTGTTTCCTCACATTTAATTTTGATATTTAATTTTACCTATTAAAATACATGGGCGGGATGAGGCATAAAGCTTACTCACCACTGGGAGCATAATTTCTGTCATATATTTTAATGAGAACAATTCAACATGAAAGTCAAAGAAACAAACAGTAAGAAAAGGGCTTTGTGTGAGGAGAAATGCGTGACTGATCCTTATCAGTTTTACAATGGATGGGTTTTAATTCAAACCCATTTTATTGTAGGAATGGTTAAAAATCACACACCTACTATGATACCTATTAAACCATCTTGTTAGTCTTTAAAGTGCTACATAGTTTTTCCTTTTCTTTTAGCAAGATCAGACTAACACAGCTACCTCTCTATTGCTGCACTATGATACCTGTAGCCGTGTAGACAGAAAAGTGTTCCACTTAGTCACCTATTGTTGCAATATCAAAATTTCCAGAAATAAAATATCACAAAACAAGAGATCTGCAACTGTATTATTTTACTTGCTCAAATGGCAACATCTCATGTGGAAAATATGCCTCCAGTGACAGACAAACAGATCAGCAAGAAAACAGGGCAAAATTATGCACAGAAGGGCAAAATTAGATTTTCTTGGGATCTCCTAGGCTACGTTTAGACTGCAAGCCTCTTTCAAAAGAGGCTTTTTCGAAAGATACTTTTGAAAAAAGCCTCTTTCAAAAAAGAGTGTCTAGACTGCAAGCAGTACTTTCGAAAAAGCAAGCCGCTTTTTCAAAAGAGAGCACCCAGGCAGTCTGGATGCTCTCTTTCGAAAACGCCCTGTTTGCATTCAAGAACGCCTTTTTTTGAAAGAGCACTTTCGAAAAAAGGCGTTCTTCCTCGGGAAACGAGGAGTACCGCCGGCGAAAGAAAAGCCGTGTTCTTTCGATTTAATTTCGAAAGAATGCAGCTGTAGTCTAGACGTAGGTGAAGTTTTTTCAAAAAAAGATGACTTTTCTTAAAAAACAAACAAACCTGCAGTCTAGACACAGCCTTAGACTTTCATTCAAATGTGTTTTTACCAAGTGTCATTTACCCTTGTTCCTATAGAAGTTATTTGTTAAAGGTTAATTTGTTACTCATCAATTGCAAAACATCCATTTGAGACCTGTTAACTATTCAGGACTGTGTTCTCATGGAGATAGAACCCAGAGAGCCATTGCATATTGTTGTCAATTTACGTCAGTTTTTAAATAACAGCATGACAGTTTGATGTTGGAAACTACTTCCTATCTATCTTTTGTGTCAAGAAATATATACCAAACAGGAGTACTAAAGTCAGTCATCCAGTTACACAGTGATGATATTATCTTTTTGCACTGGCAATTTGTTTTGCAGATATTACAATAGGATTGTAACTTGCCTCTGCAGTATTATCATGACTTTTGTTGTTTTTTGAATAGTAACTACTCTAAGCCATGGTCTGTACTAGGTTGGTATTTCAAAATAACCCCCCTTAGGTCGAATTTATAAGTGGAGTGTCCACACTACCAAGCCCGTTATTTCAAAATAATTGGCCACTTATTTCAAAATCTGTACTCCTGCTTTCCTTGGGGAATAACACTAATTTCAAAATAACATTAGTGTGGTGCTATTTCAAAATAACTACTCCCCAGAGTAATTGCAACTAATTAGTCCCCAGTGTGTCCTGGGGCTCTAAGTGGAGGAAGTGTGTCCACATTAATAGAACCTCTCTTGAACTAATTTCAGGGCTTCCCTGTAGTTGGGACACACTATTTCGATTTTGTAAAATCAGGAGTTAAGTTTAATGTAGTTATTTTGAAATAATTTCCTAGTGTAGACATGCCCTAAGTTAATAATTCATATGTTTTAAATAATTTTTGTTGTCTTTTCTCCTTCACAGTACTTGGCTGAGTGATAATCCTCAATGCATTTTTTCAGTGTTCGGGACTATATTTTTCAACACGGATGTTACCATTATTTATTGATTTAACAGCACCCAAGACTGTTCTAGACATGTTACCCCATGTTACCCCAAGGATCTCACAGTCTATGGGCCAATTACATGGTGCTCATCTCACCTCTGGGAGATGCCCACTTCTGGTCCTTGGTCTGCCTGGTTGAGCATTACTTCTCTTCTCTTCCACTTGCCTCCTGCTCATGGAGCCCTAGTATGGTAGCTTTGTGTCTCAGTCCTCTGGTCAGATCACACCGTGTTTTCCTTTTTGGGGAAGTCACTCAAATTCCTTCTCTACTGGCATTGCCAAGCAGTTCTGGCACCAGGCAATCTTCCTGTTCACTGTCCCTAGCAATGCCACTCTGCAGTAGATGGAAGAGGAACCAAGGTCTTCTCTCTACTCTGGGTTCCAGACCAGGCCATAGGGTGAGCATTTAAGGTCTGCATTTACATCTGAGATCTTACTGCTCTTGCCCCTGTTATATTTTACCAAGCTTTTCATTCTCCAGTCTTCCTAGTCA